GCGAATCAGAAAAGTAAGTAGAGCCGACAAATGAGTCAAGAGAGTAGGAAGGGAATGAGGACAGAGAACGGGAGAGAAAGAAAAAGGAGGCCAGAGGGGAAGGAAAACGAGGGAGAGATAGTGAATGAAGGGGGGAGAAGAAATGTACCTTTCCTTASAAATCAGAAATAAAGGATTGGAAAAATCATGAAAAATACAAGCACAGGAGAAAAAACTATAGAAAACGTGAGACATACTCCCCCCCCCAAACGCTAATCCCTCCCCGTTCCCCACAAACCTCCCTCCACCTTCACCCGTTTTCCTCACACTCCTTCGTTCCTCATATCTACGACCCTTCCATACTCATCCCTCCTCCAATTTCACTCATCATAGCCCTACTTCTCCCGTTTCTCTCCCTAAAATGGGGAGAGCTGAGCGCAGAGCATCAGACAGCGAACAAGAGGCGAGGAATGGATGGAGAGAGTAGACAAAGAAAGAGGAGAGGAGGAAGGGAGAGGAGGAGAGAGGAGAAGAAACAAGTAGGAGCGATCTGAGGAGGAGAGTAGAGTCGCTCACGTCAGATGATGATGATGATGATGATGATGATGATGATGATGATGATGATGACGTGAAGAAGATGAAAATGGTGATGGTTGTTGATAATGAAGTTGCTGATAATGAAGTTGATGATGAAGCTTGAGGATGACCAGCAGCGTTATATTTGTTGATGATGATAGTGCCGGTTGCTGCCGCTGCTGCCGCTGAGCTGCCTTTCGCCAGGTCAGCTGATGACCACACTTCCTCTGCCGCCGCGACACTGCTGCCAAATCTCACTGCTCCTCGACAAATCCGGACGCCAAAACGCAATAGACACCCTGCCAAACACCTTTCCAGATAACGTGAGGGTTGATCATCCCTCACCGATACTGGCCCACTCCCATATCTGTTAGCCAGATACTGGAAGGGTGCCTGCGACCCCGTGTGCCTGACACGGCGATCCCAGACAAAAGCTGCCATCAAGAGTGCCACGTGGCACCCACAGCTGCACACACAAAGCGCAATTACAGCTGCACACGTGGGCGGGCATTGAGGGTGAGGCGCACAGCTGCACACAGAAATGTGCGCCAGAGCTTGAACACACCCCTGCTCCACGACGCTCGAACGATCCGACGCCTGCCATCGATGGTCAACAGCGCGGCAGCGCTAACTCTCGCCGTGAAAACGCAATGTCGATATGGGGCGCAGCGCTCCCGGTAGCGCTGCGCCCCCCTGAGCTCAGATCACTCCCATTTCGCCTGATAGTCCTATACGCTGATTTTTCCCGCCATCATCATGTTCTTACCATCGCTGCCTTCCCCACCATATCCTTCCGCCGATAGGTCTATTCGCCGACCTTTTCCCGCCACCTCCTTCCAATGTCCTTCCCCTCCCTCCCAACCTGCCGTCGATAATCTTGGACGCCGATCCCTCCCGCCGCCCTCCCGTCTTCACCATCGTGGTTTTCTCCCCCTCGCGCCAACTCTGGCTATCGACTCCACTTTCTCGTTGCACTACCGTCACCACCCCCATCGTTCTTTACTACCGCTCTTCCTCGCTGTCCTCATCCGATGCTATACCCCAACTACTACCGCTACTCCCTCGTTTGCCCCCCCACGCCACTTGCTGTCGACAATGAATCCCCCTCGGCGGTGTGGCGCCGGGTTCAGGGCAAAGAGGTTCCCCTCCTTTTTCTTTCTTTTCAATGTCCTGCTCAGTCAATCCCCTGGACCCCAGGGTAATCAATGCTGGCAGGAACTTCCTACATTGTTTTCTCTTATGTACTCTTCATTTCAGTCTGTATATGGGACGCTGGACCTGTTTTCCAGCAGGTGATGCTCCCCACCAATAGATGGAGCCTCTCCCCAGGTGCTAGTGGTGCCTGCTCTTATCAGCACCACTAACACTGGTGGGGGTGTTTCAAAAAAAAAAAACAAAAAAAAAAAACGATGGAAACCGTGACTAACTACAGAAGCGCTGGCTTAGGCTCCCGATCCAAAACTTCATCACCCCCTTTCGAATACCTAACTTCACTCTACTTCATGACTAAGAAAAACCCGAACCCTGCCTGTTCTCATCTTACTTTCAATCTGCAATGGGACGTTTTCCAGCAGGTGATGCTCCCCACCAATAGATGGAGCCCCTCCCCGGGTGCTAGTGGTGTCTGCTCTTATCAGCACCTCTAGCATTGCAGGGGGGTGTTTTGTTCAAAAAAAAAAAAGAAAAAAAAAAAAGAAAAAAAAGAAAAAAAGAAAAAAAGAATTAAGAAAAATAGAAAAGAAGAAGAAGAAGAAGAAGAAGAAAAACCCGAACCCTGATACTGGAGACACCCAAACTCCATTTCCCTCCCCTCAGCTTTTTCTCTCCCCCCACCCCCTCCCCCCCCTGCCGACCAAGTGTGGACTCTCACTCAAGGAAAAGATACTTTGCAATGACAGGGTATTCGGAGGAACAACAGTGGAACAATAGGGGTGGCATAAAGGAGTGGAGGCAGAGACCAAGGGTTTAGGGGTGTACAGATTTTTAGCTTTTAAGATTTCTAGGTTGGAGCGACTAACGGGAGGGAGAGTACCACGGATTGTCCACTGCACACGGAAATTTTGAGTCCATCGATCAGAATCAGGAATAGAAGAAGTGGGTGGAAGGAGGGAAGTAGGAGATCAGACAGAATGTGGGGCCTGCTGCTGGCCATACCCGATTAGCACTATGGAAAGCAAGGTGCGCGTACAGAAGCCTCCAGAGAAGGCAATGAAGCCAGTTTGTGTATGATGACACGGTCACAATATGGTCGTAATCTGGTCATATAAGATGCCCGCATGGGTACAAGGGCTCATACAGATCTACTACGGACCCAAAATAGATCCAAAAATAGATCATTCACACCACACATCATATACATCATATTCATCATATTCATATTCCTGTCTCTTATACACATCTAGATGTGTATAAGAGACAGGTCGTAATCTGGTCATATAAGATGCCCGCATGGGTACAAGGGCTCATACAGATCTACTACGGACCCAAAATAGATCCAAAAATAGATCATTCACACCACACATCATATACATCATATTCATCATATTCATATTCATATTCATCATACTCATAATAGACATCATATACATCATACTTCATCATATTACATCATATTACACAACTATGATACAAAAGCACCATAGTATAATCACAGTCACACACTGTCACAGACTCAGTACACACAATAGACAGAGCCCTCTTAAAGTACTGACACACGAACTACAGATCATATATATCACAAAAAGAGACAACAATGACCACAGCCCTAGGAAACACCAAACAGCAATCTCAGTGTTACATGATTTATCAATGGGACACTGGACCCGGTTTCCAGCAGGTGCCGCTTCCCACCAATAGATGGAGCAGCCCGACAGATAAGCCCTCAATTCTGACGGTTCTCCTACCGCCGCCAGGATAGAGGGATATCGCAAGGGCTATTCTCACAAAAAAAAAAAAAAAAAAAAAAAAACCAACAACAACAACAACAACAACACCCTTAGGCATGGTCCAGGAATACAGCCTAGCTGATCCCCAAACACCCAAGGCAACCGGGTTCTGACAGCCCTTCAGAGCAAGCCAAGGAAGACACATACACATTTTCTGTGGAGAATGCTAATAGGAGGACCCTGGAGGGGGACGCTGTACCCGGCTTCCCACCAATAGATTGGAGCCATCCCGTGCGTGGAGTTCATATGTCAGAGAGGTGCTCTTATCACCACTGCCTTAAGTAGGTCCTCTCTGAGGGGTGTTCGAATAAAAAAGAAAACCGAAAAAGGGACCCTGGCGACAGATATACCCACAGAATTTTCCACCCCCCCACGTAGATGGCATGGGATCTTGGATCCAACTCCTTTTCGGTAATTATCTAATGGTTGGCCATCATGGCAACCCCTTCTCCCTTCCTAAGGACTCCTTCCCCTTGGCATCAGTGCGCATCTAAAGGGCTCTTTACAATGGGATCATTATTGGGATATCTCAACCAGAACATGGAAAAACTGTTAGGGAACTCAAATCACCACTCAGAACCTGGAACATAAGGAAAAGGGACTCAGAAAGTTGGGACCGAGCAGTCCCCCGAGCATTTGTTCAGATGTGATGATTGGGCCCCGTGGTCAAAGTTGAAGATAGAGTCGTCCCAACAACAACCCTCCTACTACCTGGTCATTTACAAGGTAATAGAATGTGAAGGGACACAAGCCGCACTCTAGGGGCACACGAAAGCATGCTTGACGGGAGCAAGATGGATGGCTAGAAAGCGTTAGTAGTAGAAACAAACAGTTTGACTGCGACATTGTCCCCCGCAGCTTGACGGGAAGGCCATGATTACAATGAGAAATGAGAGTTCCACTTCCAAGGGATGGCTATCAGGGTCACTATGCCTATAAGTTCCAAACTCTAATACGCCTACGAGTCCCATAGTCTGATATGCCTATAAGTCCCACAAAGTCTGATATGCCTATAAGTCCCAAAGTTTGACCCACTGGAAATGGGAATGGAAGTTATGGAAGGGAGACAAGTTCAGAAAACCAATCAAATCCTCGTTTTTTTTTCATATATATATTGTCTGTTGAACATCCGTGCATGGCAAGGATGATCCGCCATAGCTACCAGCTCAGCAAGGTGGTGAGGGGAGAGAGAGAGAGACCAAAAGGGGGAGATCTTTTTGGAAAACCGTAAGGGGATCTTTCGGACATTGGTTCTTGTCCATTCATTAATTCATTCAGTGTTATTACATTTCATAGTAAAGGGGAGGAGGAGTTATGTGAGGGATATGGTGCAGGTGGAGACGAGAGGGGAAGAAACCTTGGTCTAATCCTGTGTCCTGGTTCTTCTTGTTTATTTCTTCGTTCTGTTCTCTCTTCGTCATCCTATTCCCGTTCTTCTTGATTTCTGATGAATGGCATTCCCTCAAAGTTGAGTGTTGCATCAAGAGCTGGGCAGGATCATTACACTCCCCTATTCCATAGCCCGCCCATCCCTCGTATGTCCAAACATTGCGGCCACTGCAGCGCCAAGCTTGGGACCAGCCACAGCAGACGGAGCAGCACCTGATGTTACAACAACCGCTACAAATGGTCCAGCAGGAACAAATGCTGACACAACAACAACAACAACTACAACAACAACAGCAACATCAGCTGCAGCAACAACACCAGCATCACCTCCTGCAAGAGCAGTTGCAAGCACAGAAGCAGATGGGGGCAGCTCAACAACTCCAACAGCTGCCACAACAACAGACCGGCCTGCACCCGCCGACGCAGTTGCAGCTACAGCAACAACAACACCACACATCGCAGCAACATCCCCAGGGTGCAGCCCAGGAGGCGCATCACCAGCAAATGCAACAGCATGCATGGCACCAACTTCAACAGCAGCAGCTGCAAGATGCGGCGATCCAGCAGCAACAACAACAGATGCTTCCACTGCATCAGATGGTGCAAAACGAGGCGCGAAATGCGGTGCGCGAACAGGAACAGCATCGCACAGAATGTGCTAACCAACTACGCCTCCTTCTGCAAGCACAGCTGGCGCAGTACCACCACCAACAGCATCAACAAAGGGCGCTGCACCAGCACCAAATATTGCAGCATCTACATCTGCAGTGGCAACAACAGCTCTGCTGCCAACAGGAACTTATCTTACAACAACAGCAGCAGGAGCTGCAGGTGTTTTGGCAGCATGAGATGGAAACACAAAGACAACAACAGCAGAGCCACCCACTGCACTGCCCCCGGATAGCTGCACCTGACCTTCCGCCCCAGAAGACGGATGCACAGACGGCACAAGATATGGACACCTCNAGCTGCACCTGACCTTCCGCCCCAGAAGACGGATGCACAGACGGCACAAGATATGGACACCTCGGCCCCGGACGAGGTGCAACAGACAACGCAGCTCCGCAGCTTGGAACCAGGCCAGGGGGGACCCAGGCCGTGGCCCCGCTACCACCTGACAGCCCGCCCCCCCGTCCTCCCCCGCTGGCACATGCCGAGGAAGTAAAACAAAAACTGGCCTTCCTAACGGAATGGACCCTGACCAAGATCTTCTCTATGGCTGAGGAGGGGTCACAGACTAAACTCACCACCAAGTATTGGGCCCAGGCTAAGAAGGTCCTCATGTTTACCCCATGAGTTCTGGCCACGGTGGAAAAGTACAGCAATGTACAGGCTATAGATTGGATGGATGTAGGAGCAGCAATAGTCCTGGTGGTCAACGAATTCCTGGACAAAATTGAGCAATATGCAAAAACAAGATTTGGCCACAATCAGGATATGCAACACTCAACTACTCTGCAAACTGATGATGACGCGTTCCACCACGAAGGGATGGTGTGGCCCAAACTGCTGGTCCAAGAACTCTGCGCCACCCTACACGGTCCCGAGAGTGCCGCCCCTGCCCAACTGGAAGAACGACACGGGAAGCAGAACCGCCGAAAATTGATCAACAGGGGAAACAGTCCCGGGGTTCCCGCAGAATTGTAATTTTGCATGACGATGATGATGACGGGCCGTCCGGCTCAGAGGATGATGCACTGGATCAACCCCCCCGGGGAACCTTACGGGATCTGGTGAGACTGATAACTGATGATGCCACCCCGATGCATGAGCCACCGGGAGTGATCATACTACCAATAACCCGACAAAAGGAAGGAGGGAAGTGGTTGCTAGGACTTAGACCCCCCACCGATCGACCACCGCATCACTCCCCGGGCCCCGATGGCCTCACAGTGGAGGGATGGAGGGGCAGCCCCTCCACAACAGTTATTTTAAAGCGCCTTAAGTATTGGCGCAGGCAAAAGCAACTCGAAGGAGTCCAATGCGCAGTGCTGTTGCGTTCGATGTCGTTCCGGAAGGAATTATCCCGGTCATCGTGTTCATATGTCCGAAGGCCACAGCCCCAAAGACAATGAGAGCACACACATGGTTCACCCAGCAACAACTAATGAACCTGCCCGCGCACCGATTCAGAACTAATTTTGCCTGGACCAGGACCAGGGTGCTCTGGTTCATGCAGATCCTAATGGAAGACAGCATGCTGGAAGAACACAATAGGTGGGATGACCCGCCATTTGTCCTTCCGATAAAGATAGCAGACTGAAACGGTCGGGACAGACTCACGTTGGTGAGGAAGAACAAAATAAAACAGTGAATTATGGACCACCGCACCCCGACACCCAATCCCGACTACCCGCAGGGCCCGATGGCTCCCACCCGCCCCCCCTCCGTCCAATGCCCCCCGCCACCAATTACGATTCCCCCAATTAGGAGGAATCCCCACTGGCGAACAAAATTGGAGCGGGCGGATATTGACATACGCTCGTTGAACGTCAATGGCCTTATCCAAGCGACGACGCCCAAGAAAGACGCCATATGGGACATGCTCAGGTGCCCGGAAACCAGATCGTGGCCGGACGCAATATGCATCCAAGAAACACACCTGCAAGACACACCAGCACACAATGCAAAGGCAAAAGCGATCTGGCCGTACACACTCTTCGCTGCGTTCTATGCTGATAGACGGTCCTATAGCCTATAGCCGCGTCCGGTAGAGGCCGAGAGGCCAAAACAGCAACGGTACCGGTCGGTCAGTCAGTCCGGTCTAGGTCTAGGTAGTCTATAGATAGGTTAGGCCCATTGGTTCAGGACTTTTTGCAGTTCATTTCTCGCGAAGCAGCGTTGGAGAAGCCAAGCAAGTGGGTAGCGGTGTCTGTCTGCAGACGGCATCCTGAGACTCACCGTTGACAGCAGCTATAACCGGCCCAGCCTGAGTCTGCCATAGCTGGGGCATCCTCAGCGCATCTACCCCTGGGGGTATCTGCGTATGGCTGTATCGAGGCTCTACACTGTGTGTTCGTGGGTGGTGGCAGCCATAGCTGCCTGTTCAATCGTCAGAGTTGTCCATCGGCACGGAAGACTTCATCGCAGGACCTGTTCTTCATCAGGGTGGTTGGCGCTGGCCTCTGGGAGGCCAATCTGATGTGGCGCTACTAACTGGGTGTAGGATAGAGAGTGGGGTATGAGTTCTGAAAGTGGCGAGATACTGGAACAAACTCTGTTACGATAATTGTGTGAGTGGCTCATCATCAGTGTGATTTCCAATTGTGATCTTCGCAGGTTCTTTCTTGTGATTGGTTGTTGGGAGTTGTGTCAGAGAGTGAGAAACACTGAGTGTCTTCTCCCCATCTGTGCATGATTGTCTTCCCCTGCTTATTTTCACCTGTGTGCAGTTTGGACTCTGTCTCCTCTCTCTCCTTCTCTTATGCATGTATGGGCATGTGTGAGATTGTCTGTGTGTGAGTGGCGATAAAATTTGTCAGACAACCAAGTTCATAACAATAGGGTTTATACTACTCTATAGGGTCTATAGGGTTTTTAGGTGGTCTGGCGCAAAGACGTTCAGATCAGCTGTCTTTCAATAAACCTAGGCTACAGCAGAAGTACAAGGCATGGACAGAAGCACAGGCCAACTATGGGTGCTTTTGGATCCGGCAGGGTGAGTGAAAGATGGGAGGGTGGGAGAATCCAGAGGGACTGAAAGACCTGCTGGGAACAATAGAAAAGTGTTGAGGTAGAATGGGGGGCTGCAGATTACGGCTGGCTAAAACGACGAATGGGGGCTCCAATTCGGGATTGGGATGACTGGTAGCTCCAAGGGACAATTGGGACCCCGAGGGACAAAGGTACAAGCACAGCCTAC